TGCATTGCATTTCTTTTATGGGAAAAAATGTCTCTGTGTCATGTGCATCAGAGTCCCAGTTCATTCAAGGATGTATCCCAAATGTAGGTGTTACATAAAAGTAAAATCTCTTCTCTGTCTTTATTCTCCTTGTGTCACAGGGCTTGGAGTAGAAATAATCCTATTTTCCTGCTACTGAAGAAAAAACAATGGAATGAAATTCTGCCTGTAGAACTCATTTGCTCACGTGTGCTACTCTGAACTCTTTAGCAAACTAATCAGCAAGCTTGGCCTGCAGTTGCTGCTTCTAATTCTCACATTCCCTGCTTTTCTCATGCTTGTAAGCATACTTACCTGTGATGATGCCATGTTTTATAGCTTGGGGAAGTCTTAAACTAGTTAGTCAGTTAGGAAAACAGAACACCTTTAAGGTGCTTTAGACAGAAGTGATAACGGAGCACCCATCTTCTATTTAGCAAAATACCAGCTTTGCCAAACAAACTTTTCAACTAAACGTGTCATACAAGATAGGACTGCAAACTATGGGTTTTGCCTGGCAGCGGTAGGAGACTCCTGAAATATCAGTGAACCTACTTAGATGCTATGAGAGCTGGTCCTTCAGCTAAAATATTTTTTTTCCTCTTTGATCCTGCAAGTTCTGGGTTCAGTCTTTACAGACAACTCCACAGGGCTTCTACAAATTTGATGAGGTTATCTGTAACCATGATTCCGTTCTCCTCCCAAATGCTCCTGATACTGAGAAGGAAAGAATTCAAATGGCCTACTGGTGCTGTTATCTTAAGTACTTGGGTCAAGTACCAATCCTGATATTTTTCTTCTTTCTATTTGCACTTACATGCTTGCTGGGCTGGAGTTCCTGCTTCTGTTGTACACACACATCATCCTCTTAGCTTGCACTTGGGCTGTTGAAATTTGGGATAAAAGCTTTTTGCCAGGTTAGTGTATGCCATGAAGTGTTGGCTAGTGGGATTCCTTGAAATCCCTCTCCATTTCAAATAGATTTATGAATAAGGGGGGGGCAGTTTGAATACATTGCAAACCTCAAAAGCCTTAGTGAAACCTGGATTTGGCCATCTCAACTATTTATAGAACACTCTATACCTATTCTAAATATATTTTCCTCAAGGGGACCTCATCTCAACCCCCTGCTCCACAGCTTAAATTGGATCAGCAATGCTGCTGGGATTGTTTAGCAAAACTTGCTTCTCCAGCTCTGTGGCAGAGCTGCAGATGTTGTTGGTCCAGGCCTTGAATGGGAAATTCTGTGCCTGGCAGAGCTCAAGGGTTTGGATTTAAACTCTGCAGCCAGCCATGTCAAGAGATATCGATGATATATTGGATCATTTCCTGCAGCCATTGCCTGGTTGTTTTTTAACACTCCTCCCCTGCTGATAGGTCTAGAGTTCTGGAGGGGGAAAACCAGGTGACTTATTGGCAGCGTACGGCACCCTTCCCTTTCAGGAGTCTTCAGCCTCGAAAACTGAGCTGAACAATGAGCATACAAACATTTTCCTTCTAGAGGAAGTGTAAAGAGTGTTCTGTGGGCAGAAAGCACTTCCTATTGCAAGGGTGCTTGAAACCGATGTTCCCTTTTTCTTCTTCTGCTGTGGGGAAGAGAATTGTCTCTTCTGTGGGAATAGCTACGTGACAGTGCTCGGAGAAGTGTGCTTCTGACTCTGTCGAACGGTTCTTCCTGAAATGTTTCCTACCCACAAGGAGCAGAAGCTTCCTCTCTGCTGGTGGCGTTTTGTAACACCTCTGGCAGCAGAGCCAGCTGTGCAGGCTTTTTCCCATTCAAGCTTTGCTTTGTGTTAGTGGAGGCAGAAGAGCTGTATGATGGTGTAGAACTAACATTGCAGGAGTGGCTCCTGCTCTCCTCTGGCTTTGGACCTTGATCATTCGTGTTCATTGCTGTTTTCCAGGCAGATGATGAATATGGGGCATTTAGAAAGCAAGACTTGAGTCCACTTGCTGTTGATTGAATGGGATCAGACTGTCAACTCCCTTGATGTAAAGACAGAGGATCTCTTTGGGTCAAGGAGAGCAACTCATCCCACAGCAGGTTCTGTAGTGGACAATCTGCCTGTTAGAAAAATCATGTGATTTTGTTTTTGAGTGAAAGGCTCTGGCTGTACCTACCTCAGGATACAAGTTTTGGTGCAAAGGGCACACTGCAGAACCTTATAGGACAACTGTCATCTTTGAGGTTTAAAAATATTTAGAAAAATACATCCTTTATTGAATTCTATAGGTTTGAACAGTTTCTTCTGTACAGTGGTTACATTCTGTCTGCCTCTCCCAGGAATGTCTGCAGAGCTGTGTGGCAGTTGATGCAGATCACAGTCCTGAGTGGAAAATTTTGGGTCAGTATAGAGGCAGGATGGGCCATCAGGACCCTACATATCCTGAATAGCTGTGCTGCCCCACAAGAAGGGTCAGGACTGGCTTGTATACCTGGAAAAAAAGCAACTGCTCCCTGTTCCTATGATGTGATTGACTCAGAATCCACTTCATGGATCTTGGACTCAACAACTAGGGTGTAAAACACCAGGGCTGTTTGCACTGGTTCAATGACAGGATTTGCAAGGAAAGTGTCAGTAGCATCTCCAGAAGTCACGTCACTTTAGGTGCCCATTAGAAATCCCCTTCGGGGTACAGCAGAGGAGTGGCTGCCACTTACTTGGCCGCAGGGATAGAGAAGCCTGTGCAAGGCTTTGCCACTCCAGGAGCAGGGTAACATTGCTCACTGTGTATTTAAGCCTCAGAAAATGCTTTTGAGGTTGACAGAAGCTTTTCTTGTTTATTACCCTTTAAGGATAAATGGAGCAGCATGTGGCAAAATCACAGAATAGGATTAGCTCAGGACTTAGCAGGAATTGTTTCTTAGCACTCCTCCAGAGCTATTTCCTTCTCTTGCAGCCTCTGGAGCTGCATGAAATGGAAAAGGTTATGGCCTTGCCTACCCAGTGGGAAAATCATCCCAGCTCAGTGCAGCAAAATGGACTGAGTCCAGTGCTTTTAGAAGCAGTAAAACAGGTAAAGTGTATTTAAGAAGGAATTTTGCATGGGGGATCTCACAGTTACCCTGCATCTTGCTTCAAGATGCATTCCCCTTCACACGTAGGCCCCTTCCTACAGTCTTCCTGGCTCTTCCAAGGAATCAGGGTCAGCATAGCTTTAGATTTTGCTCCGGTCATGGCTTACCTGCATGCATGCAGACAGCTTTTCCTTGGCCCCTGTCCTAGTGTGCAGGAAGGGACAGGGGAGTCTCTCCAAAAGCAGTGCAGAGCCACTCAGCACCTTGGGGTGCTGCTGCTGCACTCTGCTAGGGAGGCCCATTCAGTTCAGATGGAGTCTGTGATCCCATGGGGGTGCATTAACTCGGGGAAGGCTCTGCAGTACCTGGGACCGTGCCAGGATGGGTGCGCAGACTCTAATGGTGGTGGAGTCATCATCCCTGGAGGTGTTCAAAAAACGAGTAGATGTAGCACTTGAGGCAATGGTCGAGTGGTTAGGGAAATGTTGGGAGGATTGTTGGACTTGATGATCCTAGAGGTCCTTTCCAACCATAGTGATTCTGTGATTTGTGTTAGTGCTTCAGTGAAAAAACACTCTTAATGTGTATGTCCCATTCCTGGGCTGAGAGTGTGATTGGCAGCTTTCTGGCTCACTCCCTCATGCCTCTGGCTAGTTATTTCCGCTGATGGCTCTCCAACGA